AGCGATTTCAGTTTTTGAACGAACTGGTCGACATCTTGACCAGGTTCTTGTTTGTATGTGGCTAAAAAGATGGCGTGCATACACGATATTTTTCGGGCGGATGTAAAGTTTTTCCAGCAAGGTTATCGCAGAATCGTAGTCGCTGCGTACACTGTATGGTCGATGTGACGAATGAGAGTTTCCAATTTATTTAGACCTTCGGGTTTGATTGAGTTAATGTAGGCTTTGAAAGTACGGAACCAATGAGTCCATCGTTTCATGCCATCTGATGAGTGTGGATCAGCATCAAAAACCGTAGGTCGGAGAATATGATCCATTTCGTTTTTATTAGACGATTAAATTGTTGCGAGAGTCGAGTAGTTCCAGGACGGGATTAGAAAGGAGACAGAATAGGAAGAGGTAATGTACGCTTTAATCGTCTAATAACTGTAGTACATGAGCTGAAAATAGAGTGAGAATCACGAGTTAATGAGTTATGCAAAGGTATGGGTTATATAGTTATGACACTCATCTAATGGACCTAGCGGTCAGTTCCGCCCAGTTGCGATTTTGATACCTGAAAGTATTATTCGCTTGGTTATTTTGTTGTTTGTACTCTCCTGCGCTTGACGCTCGACGTTCAGTTGCAACTATCAGCACATGTCAACCCGAAATTCGGTTATTCTGAGATTTTTGGTACCTTACTCTTTCTCGATTTTAGGATGGTGAACGTCTTCCCGTAACATTCAAAGATATGGGTACCAGTGAAATATACCCGCAAACGATTGAACACAATGCTAACGGCCGATTTGTTGCAGTATGTGGCGACGGAGAGTACATCATCTACACAGCCATGGCATTGCGGAACAAAACCTTTGGTCAGGCACAGGAATTCGTCTGGTCCCAGGCCGATGCCAGCATGTATGCTGTACGGGAGAGCAACGCGATTGTCAAGGTAGGTAGTTGACAGTGCGCCCTTGAATTGTTACTCGTATCATCGGATGCTTAGCATTATGATTCATCCATTTTCTGCAGGTATACAAACAATTCAAAGAGCTACGCACCTTCAAACTGGACTATGGTGCTGAACAAATATTCGGTGGACATTTGCTCGGCGTTCGGTCCCTTACGGGGCTTACTTTCTACGATTGGAATACGGGCCGTCTGGTGCGACGCATTGATATTAGCCCACGCGCTGTGTATTGGAATGAAGGTGGTCAGCTGGTCTCATTGTGTACAAACGAAACGGCTTTCATACTGCGGTATGCTGCTGATGCAATACCGGAAGCAGAGCCGGCACCGGGTTCGGTTGAAGATACGGACGGATTTGAACAGGCCTTTCAGGTAATAACTACCTCCCTCTCCTCCGTAAACCGCACCTATCTAAGGCCCTATCGATCTCAATCTTTCTGCCTCTACTACAGTAAACTTCATTCCATCCAATTGACTCCGCGCTCTTCTTTGTTCTCAGGTTGTGCCTAATGGTGAAGTAAATGTCGCAGTTCATACTGGATTCTGGTATGGCGATGCTTTCCTATTCACCACGACAGCCAATCGACTGTGCTATTATGTTGGTGGCGAGTTGGTCACCTTGGCACACTTGGACCGGCCCATGCATTTGTTGGGCTATCTGGCAAAGGAGAATCGCGTGTACCTTAGTGACCGCGATTTACAGGTGCGTATGGTCCTATCATCGTTGTCTGTGTGTTGATATCCCGCCCTCCACCTACACTCTTCCAATTGTCTATTCTTTCCACAATTTCAGATCGCTAGCTATTCTCTGCTTCTCAGTGTACTAGAGTATGAGACTGCAGTGATGCGTGGAGATTTCTCCGCTGCCGATACCATCTTTCCTAGTATCCCGAAAGAACAACGAACCAAGATTGCCCAGTTTTTGGAAAAACAAGGATTCCGATCGCAAGCTATGCGTGTGACTACGGATGTGGATCACAAGTTTGATCTTGCGTTGCAGCTGGGCGATTTGGAATTGTGTCGTGACTTGGCTGCTGACGGTGATCCAGAAGTGAATGAGTCGAAATGGAGACAAGTGAGTTGTTTGGATCCACCGTTCTCATGCTGCTTATTTAGAGATCAGCTGTCCGGGTAATATATCCATGGTCCACGTATCTGAGGAGCGTAGGTTGCGTGTGGCATTCTTAGAACATTACGGGGTAAACGGTAGGCTGGTAGTTGTGAATAATCATAGGCGAGATGGCTCAAGTGGTTAGAGCGCGAATTTACTGACCGTGGTTCGAACCCGCCCTCTGCGTCTCGACCTCTCCTGTCTAGGCTTGGGAAACCTGACAGTATCACAGCAGCCGTCGTGCTCCCTTTGCGTGGCATAGCAGCTAGGCACCGAAAGGGTGTTACAGCTGAATGATGGTGACATCTACATCAGTTCAGAATCGACTGTTGGTCTGTCGTTTGAACATGACACTATCACATACTTTTTGGGGCTAAACAGTTCGTTCTGGTATCCTTTTCTACATCATTGTACGACCAAACTTCCCATATTGTGGGTAAATGATTCAACAGGGCTTGATTTTTTTCACCACGTTGGAAGGCGGTAACTCACTTCTACTCTGGAGGATAATGAGCCGGTTACTATGGGGTCCCATGATCCCCCGCGCTATTCGACTACTTTTATGTTTGGCTGTTTCAAGTTGTCTTTGCCATCTCAGCCATTCGGAGAGCGCGTCGCTTACCTTGTGCATCACAGGCACCATGGAGCCGTACGAGCATTCGGTGTCACGTAACGACGTTCGAGGGTTTGATACTGATACTGTTCGCAGAGTAATTCGGTTTTGGTTTGATGTGACATTTTGTACGGTACTGAGGCTTTGGCGTTCTAGAGCCCCTTGCCCCCCAGAATAATGCATTAGCTACTTAACCCGAGGGTTCATACTTCGCTCAGGCTCTTCAGTTGTTCGTGTTTAGGTATGGACACTCTGTTCATATCTACGTCCATGTGCTTTTTTCGGTTCCGTGGCAGCTATACGTGATAATGCCATAGTTGAATGGTGTGATTTTCCAGTGTTCTCCACTGGTTGCATTCCTGTAGCAAGGTTCCGCCGGTGACGTTGATCAGGCATACTTCAGATCTCTAGCTACCGTGTCCATAATTGTAACGTGAGAAGGCACCAGGACCGGACGGTCTGTGTCCAGCCCTCTTCAAAGAAGGCGGAAATTCCCTGGTGACCCACCTGACAAAGCTTATTAGTACTATGTGGGACGAAGAGAAAGTGCCTGCAGAATGGGGCATGTCGACAGTTATCCCTATCTTCAAAAAGGGTACACGGACGCTATGCGAAAACCAC